CAGGAAACAACAACATCAGCTATTACCTTAATATTATAAATCATTTTGTTGGATATCGTTGTAAAGATATCGAAATTCATTTGCTGCATTTTTCATTTTCACAACTGCTACACTTTGGTATATGACATAAAATTTATTTTGAATATCATTAAATGCTTTTATGTTCATTAACCACAAAATTTCTCCAAACCAGAATGACCTTTCCTATCTCTCTCATTGCAACAACAGGTCTATAATTTATTTTAAATGGTGACATTCCTGGTCTTTGCCTTTCAATCTCTTTGCTAGAATAAAATGACTGTTTCCAATTGCACGAAGATGTTGCACAAGAAATATTTAAAAACACTGCCAAGCCTTTCTTTTTTGATAAATCAGTTGAGATTTTAATTGAATTGTTATGGGATTGAGGACAATGTCCAATCAAAGTAACAATTGATTTTAAAATGTCTGTGTCAATAAGTATAAAGCATGAAGGCAATTTATTTAAATCACTAATTTTTGCATTACTATTTTTACTGTTATGTGATAAGTTTTTTGAAGATGTTGATGTCAAAATTTTTGATTGAGTTGAGTTAGTGATTTCCCATTGAGAAGTTAAATTAATGCTGATTGTTGATGCTGAGGAAAATTGATTTCCTCTAAAGTATTTTTTTTTTTTAAATCCTGTTTCCACCTGCTTTCCTTCTTAAATTTAAATCGCATTTATTTGTTCCCATAACAAAAATAAGCACGAGGCAAATAAAGTATAACACGAGGCTGATAGTTTTTTTATAAGTAATATATGTATATATAGTAAGTGTACTTAAAAATCATGGCTTATTTAGAAAAATAAACATGAAACAGTAAATGGCGCGACACTCTAAAAACACTTTTTTTAAAATATAAACAACCCGTTGCTAAGGCCGAAACTAAAAGAAATTAACTTTTTTTTCTAAAGCAGATGAAATTTAATTTAAATATTTACATTTGAAGAAATTAATGCATTTAAGTCGAACCTTTCAATTTAAAAATAAATCTAAGACTCAAAAATTTAACTAAAGCTCATATATACATTTTTTGCAAACATTTAAAGGAATCAATGTAATGGTCAGTTTAGTTATTGATATAGCTAAATACATTTTGAAATTGTTTTCAGTATGTTTAAATTAAAAAACTATGAATAGATTCATTAGATAATTATTCTAGTCAACAACGAGCTATAAGAAGAAGAAATGGTAACCCATTTTTAATTGTTGGGTATAATGACAATGATGCAATAAGAAACCAATGTACTTTCGAACAAATAATAAAAACTAACCTTGATGATAAAATCTTGAACAATAATTCTAAGTCTACAAAAATGGCTGTTTTAATAGCCAAAAATCTTATAAAAACTAGGGTTCGGAACTTATGCGCTTATCGGCGAGTATATGCGCATACCATTCAAAAGTTAATATGCATATAATGCGCATTCAAATTTAACAGTAAATGCAATATGAAATAAGTGTCAAATATAGAAGAAAATGTTTTTTAATCAAACGCAGATGACTTTAAATTAAAAGAAATAATTTTTCATTCGATTTTCTGTAATTAATTTTATTTGTAAATCAAATTATTTTAATGATTTTAAAACAAATTTCTATATCACAAAATTTAACAATTTGATTTATGTTTGTATTTCATTTACAGTTTCAAAACAAAAGTACTAGAGCTGTTTAATTAAAAATATCACAAGATATAATTGTCTTTAAGCAAATGTAAGATTTAAATGTCTTTATGCAAAATAAAAAAAAAATATATATATATATACATATATATATATATATATATATATATATATATATATATATATATATATATATATATATATATATATATATATATATATATATATATATATATATATATATATATATATATATATATATATATATATATCGCGAGGTTAGAATTATTTTGTTCTATCTCCACATTTTTTTGTTTTGAGATAAAACGATTTAAAAAATAAAAACTTTAGGAGACGGCATATAAAAAGATTTTTATTACTTAAGTTTCCTCCGAAACTTTTTTGATTTTAACTTAGGTTTTAATATAGTAGAAAAACATTATTTTGAGTTACATTACACAATTAATAACTCATTTTTTTCAAAAAGTGGAGATAGAACATAATAATTCTAACCTCGCGATATATATATATATATATATATATATATATATATATATATATATATATATATATATATATATATATATATATATATATATATATATATATATATATATATATATATATATATATATATATATATATATATATATATATATATATATATATATATATATATATATATATATATATATATATATATATATATACATTAGGGTGTCCCAAACTTTTTTAAAAATAATCTGCTCTCACCCCCTAAATGTGTTCTATCTAATACAAAAACACTAAGTTTAAATTTTTTTTCAATAAAAATAATTTAAAGGGTCCCTCAAGACCCTCGAATATTTAATGGGTCCCTAATATTTTCAAAAAAAAAGTTTTTAAAAATTATGTCAACCTGGTACTCAAATGAAGCGAAATTATATAAAAATTTCAAAAATAATGTTTATTTCGGAAAAAACGATACGTAACGATATTTCCCTTAAAATATACAAAATTTGCCTAAAAAAAAACAATTTTCTGTAAAAAAATCGCCGATGTCGTTAAAAAAAAAAAGATCCTCAATTTTCAATTTAGGCGCCCAAATACAGTCGGCGCTGCTGAATTAGTCTAGAATAACTGTATATATATATATATATATATATATATATATATATATATATATATATATATATATATATATATATATATATATATATATATATATATATATATATATATATATATATATATATATATATATATATATATATATATATATATATATATATATATATGTATATATATATATATATATATATATATATATATATATATATATTATAATTATATGTCTAATATTTATTCGGTGGAGTTTAAAAACCCTTTCTTGATTTATTTTCTGAACTAATTTGTTCTTTTTATTATAGATTAGGATTTTATCCAAGCTCTTTTGAATAGGATAAATAAGCGAACACAAAAATAAGGTGGTTAAGAAGATTGAGAGATATTTCTTTAAATATCTTGGTAAAATTAAAATAACAACTTTTTGAAAAATAAGTTCAACTTCTACATCTTGAAGCAATTCTGCCATCAATTAATTGCTTATATATATAATTGTGCTTGTATATATAATTCTGCCATCAATTAACTGCTTATCTTTATGAACTTTTTAATTGACTTTCTGAATTCTAATTCTACTATTCAAAGTTTAAAAAAAGCATCAGGTAATACAGATCAAAGGTCACCTTGATTTTTTAAATTAATATTAGTACCACAATTACATTCCTCGAAAAAGTTTTGATTTTTTTTACAATTTTTTCAGAAAAAAACAACAAAATTAAGAATATTTTTCAAAAAAGTCTACTTTACTAACTTTTTGAATAACGTAATCTTTAAAAGTAACACATTCCTGCACATTTCCTGAGCAATTTATCAAAATAAGACAAAAGCTTAGCATTTAAAAAAACTCACTAGCAAAGAACTTGATGATTCAATAAAAAAATTTAATAAAAATAAAGCAACAGGCTATGATTCTTTTTCAGCAAGCATAATCAAAGACTGCTATAAACTTCTTAAAGATGTGTTATTAGATATTTTTAACAAATCACTTAAAACAATTTCAATAATAAAAGAACTACCATTATTTATAAACTTGTGTTTTCAAAAAAAAATATCTGATTCTAGATCTAATATGAAATATTTGATGAATATTTGTTCATCTGTTGAGTTTGCCATTTTTTAAACTTTTGTGCACATTTTGGTTGTCTGGGCATGATATACCAACATTTTTTAACATAAATTTAAAATTTTAACCTTTATTGTTTAAAAACAACAGAATCTCGCGAGAATAGTTCAATTGGCAAGACTATCTATCTGACTATCAGTCATTATCACTATGATTCAATTCAAAGTTAGGTATCCAAGTAATTAAATAAAAAAATGCCAAATTTAGTGAATATTGCAATAATATTAAATTAGTTTTAATTTCGTTTTAAAATTGACTGTTCTGGCCTACAGTGGTGTCACTTTTTCAATTTTATCAAGAAAGATTTCCTACTCTAAAGATAACATGCAAAAACGGGAAAACAAAATACTGGCTTAACTACTACATTACTGGGTATCAACTATATACTCAATTTAGTTCACAACATCAAATAGCTTTTTTTAACAGTTAGTTTATTATTATCTATTAAAGAACTGTTAGAGGTTAAGTACGATTCTTGTTTTAATGATTTTTTTCTTTTGATGCTAAATTTGGGTCGTTATTATTGAAGAAATAAATTAACTCATTATCATTTTAGCTTAATTATACATAACACGGAGTCAGTAAGATTTCTACAGCACATATCTAATCTAGTTCAGTATAACAAATACTGACGAATTTACGTAGAAAATTACAATATTTAGTAGTCTTTATTTTTTTCATCTTATTACATCAATTTTTTTCTCCATAGTTAACTTTAATTTGACTAAACACACGATTATATAGTATAACCGAGTAACAGTATTTCGAGTAGCTAGTCAATTTATTAGTCATTAATCTAATTAATATAAGAAACTATTTAAGAGAAAAAGCAACCTCACAAATACGCTGATCTTAAAACTTATTTGTCCTGCTGAAAAACTTCGCATGCTAACTGGATTACTTTACTTACCGTCATTTTCTGCTCAATCCATCGTTAACGTCAACATAAGCAAATATTATACTTATTATAATTAAAGAAAAGGAAAAATAAATCAGAAATATAATTTTTTCTTTTTTTTAATTTCAGAAATAAAAACTTATTTCATAAAGAAAACAATAGCAGTTTATTAATTATAAGGTTCTTTTCTAAAATTATTTCTTGCTCATAATTCAACTTTTTTAATTTTCTTTCGAACACTTGGTAAAATTTCTTTTTTTCATTATTGATTGAAAAACATCTGATCTTCAATACTTGATTGTGCAAAAACCTAAGAATAAAATTCAATGATTAAAATATGCATTATTACTATTTTATTAACGTAGCATTTAACAATAATAACATAGATAAATGGTTTTTTTCATTTTAAACCCTAAAGCTTTCGTTTTTTTTTTAATTTTAAAATAAGAGTGTTTCATAGGCAATTGCTTAACAGAGTACTTATAAACAACAAGCGTTTATATTTTTTCATAGACTTGTTTGCAGTTATTTTATCTTGTTAATTTACACTAGCTAAATTCGATAGTGCAAACTATCGAATTTAGATAGTGTACGAAAAAACCTACGTAAGTGCAAAAAATAGTCGTAAAATAGACGTAAAATAATTCTTCGTTTTTTTAAAAAATAAGCTTTTTTTTAAAGCACAGCTTGTCCCAAAAAATATGCACGTTTACAACTTGAAATAACTAAAAAGCACTTCAGCTCTTTCCAGTTGCTCTAAAAACTAAAAAAAAACTTGCTTAGCTAGTTGCTTAGGTCTTAATAATCTTATTCGGACAAAGAGCAATGTTCTTGTTCTTTAATATTTTAATAAGTTGTTTGCACTTATCCCAATGCTTATAAAACTGTTTGCAGTTAAAAATTAGATTTTTAGCTAAGTTTCAATCAACTTCCTTAATAAAAAAGTAAAATGAAAAATTATTTTATAAATCAATAATGTAAAATATATTTTTCAACTTTTAAATGTTTAAGTTAAATTATAAATTAAAAAAAAAAAAAAACAGTTATAAAAACTTTATATTATATATTTGAACTAAAATACCTTTTTTTAAAAAATATTAAAAATACGGTACCCTTTTTTAAAATATACGTTTTCTTTTTAAATTTTATAACTGACAATGACATTAAATACTTATTTGTAAAAAGTATATAATATGCTATCAATCTCTCTTTCTTAAAACATACAATTTACCTTGTGTAAACACTTTCGTGTTTAAAAAAATGTATACTCCAATAATATAATAAATAAATAGATATCTAACTTGCGGGTTTTTATTGGACAAAAAGGAATCCGCTTTTTTTTGTTTATAACAAAAGTCCGCCATTTGTAAAAAGGGCAAGTGCTGAAGCTGAGGTATGGAATAAAAGTTAAAAATGCAAGTCAAAAGTTGACAATAATTCAACTACTTTTAATATTTCAATAATTCAATTACTTTTATCAAATTCAAACACGCGAAGTTTTTTTGAAATACTACAACACCGTCTGTGAGACTTTTTCTAATTTTAATTGTTTGATTATTTTTACCAATAATTGCAAAACGTTTTTTTTTTCTTTTACAATAAGTCATGGGCAACTATTTTGTTTTATTCAAATTTACGTTTTAAGTAGTAGTTTGTGCAGTTTTTACGTTTTATGCGATGTTTGGTAAAAAGTGTAAACAAAACAACTTTAAATTCTATAAAATGACAGTTTTTCATTTAATTCCATTATTTAAAGCTATTAAGATTCAAAATGCCAACCTCAGCAAAAACAAGTGAAGATTGTAGGAGAACAGTTAGTATCCTCTGCATTAGAAAAGCAAACAGAAAAATAATAGAAACTCAAATAACAAATATTCAAAAAGTAATCCAAAAAGACATTTTGTGACTCTGGATTACTTGTTGTAATCCTAAAAAATACAAAAAAAAAAGCAGTTTGTGGTAGCTATAGAATTTAACTTTTGATGAAAAAGGACATATAAAGATATCTTTTAGATTATCATCTTTCCGTTTTGATTTTTACTATCAGTAAGATTGACCACAACAAGTGACTGACACTTGTTTGTCAAATCGGCAAGCTAACCCCATATTCTTATTACGCATATACTTATTACAATAAAAAATTTGAAAAGTCAAAAAATCAAAACATTTTTTATAACAATAATTATTTTATGTAACTTACGGCATTAATAAAAATAAAATTTCTGGGGGTAGAGGTTTTTCATTTTCAAATTTGTGTTTTTTGAAACTAATGTTTAATATTACTGGATCACTTCTGGCCAAAAGGTTGGTACTGGTTCATCATAACATTCTTTTTAGATATTTTTGATGATGGTTTAATCTAACTTTGAAAATTTCCTTATTTAGAACCTCTAGTGACTCATCATAGTAGTAATCAATAGGGAAATCTAGTTCCTCAGATATCTGCACCTCATGTTTCAACATATCACATTCATATATCCTCAGATATCTGCACCCCATTTTTCAACATATCACATATCATATTCACATATCTGTTGTATCACATACCAGCTTTGAAGTAGACATTTCTGTCACAATTTCACCCTCACGATAACATCTCTTTCTTTAATATTTAATTTCAGGTTAAATATCTGTATTCTGTAATATGGATGAATTTCTAATAATTTGATACTGTTCATCAGAAAGATCTAAATTTCTCAACAGAAATCTTGAGAAGATTCTTGAATTGTTCTACAATTTAAATTGGAACTTACATTTAAATGTTGATAGAGTTTTCATGAGATTTATTATTTCAGGTTTGTCAATACTTTCATGATATGACCCTCCAGTTTACAAAACTTAAGTAGAATTTTCTAAAGTAAAATATCATGAATAATTTCAACTCTTGAATGATAGGAACTAGATGTATTCTTTTAATAATAAATGTAAGCAATGAACTATTCTTTATTTTATACGCAAGTTTTAATTAAAAATATAAATTCAACCAATTTGCTGACAAATCATGTATATTTTGAGGTTTTTGAGATTTGATAATTTGCAGTATTTGTATGTGATTTTTTTTTATAATGAATACAAGCAATGAACTATTCTTTATTTTATACAGAAGTTTTAACAAATTTAGAAATGGAAAAAGAAAATTTTTGGAAACAGAAAATAAAATAAATTAAAAGATCCTATATTAAATTGGAGCAAATGATTTTTTCTTCCTGCTTTGTACCTATATGTACCTATCAATAAAAAAAAGTTAAAACTACCATTGAACCTCGTATTATATATTTTTTCAAATGAACTCATTATTAATTAATTAGAAAAAAATAATAATTATTTCAGAAACAAGAATCTAAAATTTAAATCCAGTGTCAAAAATAATCTTTTTAGTTTAAACATGTGGCTTTAAATTAAAATTTTAATGGTTTTTGAAGTTTGTCTCAAGAAAAGCTCCAAAATTTTGTAAGTCTTTAGAATTTAACTAAAAGAAAATTATTTATTGTTTACTGGTGGTTAAATTTAATTTAAAATTTCTTTGCAGTTATTTTATTTGGAGCGTTTTTTGCCGGTTTTTTTATTATTAACTCACTGTTCAGTGAAGTAGGATTTCAAAAATAATTGGTATAAAACCCTACATCTAGAATCACCGTTAACCATTTTTTATGGTATTGTATTGACACTAATTCCTAGATTTTTAAACTGTGAAAAACCTTATCATCCCATAACTAATCAATCAATTATATATCAATCATATATGTTCTGAAAATAAATTTTTAGAATTTTTGGCATCTAAAAAACTAATAAAATGTGGATCTTTATAAAAAATTTAATATAAAAAAGTTAATACCTTGTAAAATACACATGATATCTTTTTGTATACATAATTCATAATACATGCAAATACCATTATATAAAAATACCTTTAAAGAAGACTTTGTTTTTCTGACTGGTTCTCCTCGTTTGTATCAGAAAGATTTTCCTTATTTACTTCAGGTAAAAAGCAACTTAAGTTTCCAGATAAAATAAGTAAGCTTCCTATTATAACGAATGGCAGTGTTTGATGAAATTGTACTAAGTATTGAGTAATCCAAGGTGATACTGATGTGCCTATTACAGCAGCTGAAATACAAACACCTAAACCCTGAGATCTAAAGCATAAAAACCCAATACACTTTTACAAAAAAGAACCAAGACCATTTAAATAACTAATCTAAAATCAATCCAAAATATAAAATTTTTTTTTGGAAATGCTCAAACCTTACACCTGTAGGATATATTTCTGTCGACCAAATATATATAACATTGAAGGAGATATTTGCAAAAAACTTTCCTGAGGTACCAATTAAAACTCTTATCCATGATAAACCTTTAAAAATTAACAATAATTGTTAAAGTAGTTATTAACTATTAACATGTTTTACTATAATTATTATTTTTTGAAACAACTTTACTTAAAACAATTCTGCAGTTACCACTAATTAAGTTATTAAAAAAATAAAAGAAATAATTATGAAGCAGTTCACAGAAGACCTAAATATAAAGGAAATAGTTATGAGCCAGTTGACAGAAGACCTAAATATAAGGGAAATAGTTATGAAGCAGTTGACAAAAGACCTAAATATAAAGGAAATAGTTATGAAGCAGTTGACAAAAGACCTAAATATAAAGGAAATAGTTATGAAGTAGTTGACAGAATACTTAAAAATTAAGGAAATAGTTATGAAGCAGTTGACAGAAGACCTAAATATAAAGGAAATAGTTATGAAGCAGTTGACAAAAGACCTAAATATAAAGGAAATAGTTATGAAGTAGTTGACAGAATACTTAAAAATTAAGGAAATAGTTATGAAGCAGTTGACAGAAGACCTAAATTTAAAAGAAATAGTTATGAAGCAGTTAACAAAATACTTAGAAATAAAGTATATAATCACGAAACAGTTGACAGAAGACAGAAGAAAAAAATTCAGAGGCAAAATAAAAACACTCTAAAGCACTTATTGATTATTATCTACAGTTACCTCTAAGTTACTATAAAAATAAAGGATTTTAAAAAATATGTTATGAATAGGGATGTGGATTCCCAAAAAGGACTCCGGATTTAAAAGTCACGAAAAGATTACTTCTTTCTAGCTTTTGGTATCCTTGAGCTTTAAAAAAATAAAAAAGCTTTTGGACTACTAATGTGGAAAAAATCAAGACTTATAGGTCAGAAGAACAATTAATTTTTGAATATGAAGTTCTTAGGTATAATGGCAGCAAGGACTCTTGGACTTCAGGACTCTGGGCTTAAAAGCAATTAGTTTCAAGTTCAAATGTTATAAATTTTTTTCTTATCGCAGATCATTAATCAATCAACTTGGTTAGAGCTTCTGACACCAGAGACCATAAAAAAATAAAGATATAAAGCCGGACTCCGCATCCCTGGTTATGAAGCAGTTGATAGAAGACGTAAAAAAAATTCAGACTTATAATAAAAACATGAAAACTTTTAAACAATTATAGGTTAATAAGAGTTTTTTATTCTAAATGGTAGAGCAAGAGGATCCAATTTTAATTAAAGAACATTTTTTTGTAAGTAGAACAAGAGATGATAGTTCACTTGGGCAGGAACTATGATTTAAATAAAAGAGAGGACTGATGATGTGCCAGAGACTAAAGCACAAATGCTAAAGCAGATCTAACTACATTTACAATATTATTTTACACTTGAAGATCCAATTCAAATATGATAACAGCATTTCATACAAAAATGGATAAGAGATTACCATAGGTAGAGAATAGGCCAAACAAAAAGAAGCAAACTTGCTCATTTTGCCTTCAAAAGTATTGGTAAGATTGCTTACATTCATAAATGTAGTTCATTCATTCATTGATTCGTTCATCACTGTATTATCAACATATTACCATTGTTGTCATAAAAATTTGCACCAATACGCTGAGTTTTTTTGGTTCACAATTTGCCATAATAAGTCTGCCAAAAATTAGGTATTACATTTAAAATCAACTACCTGTTCTAAGCAATCAAAAAAGTGATGACTTTATATCAAGACTGGAATCTAAAACATATGGATCACTGAATCATCATCAAAATCACCATCATCAAAACCATCAGCAAATACTATGAGTTAATATTGTTAGAAAAACAATTATAAGAATGAAGAGAAGCAACATGGGATCAAGTAGTGCACCATAAAGTCTTGTGGTACACCAGAGGTTACTGGAAATCAAGAGTCCATCCAGAATGATCTAAATACAACAAAGGACCATCACTTAAGTTATTATAAAAGTAATCCCAATAAAATGATTAAACCCAATTACGATTTAAGATATTTTAGAACAGCATTTTATCAGTAAACTATAGCTTTTAAATCCGAATTTATATTTTTAAATAAAGAATGATACAATTTGATAATATACAAGAGATTTGAAATAACAATCGCTAGCTTTTTTAAGTTAGCGAAAAGCTATCGATACAATAGATATACAAGAGATTTGAACCATAAGCAAACAGCTGAGAAGTGAACTAAGTTGGTTAGGTTTGTGCATGGAAGTTTAGAGCCATTTTTAAACTTTTTGAAAATAATAGTAAACTGTAAATTTAGATATTTAAAATATTGTTAATAGTTACTGTTGGAAGACGATTTGTTAAAATTTTTTGACTTTTAATTGTGAATTTATGTTTTGTTATGTTAAATGTGTTTTTTTGTTTTTTTTTTTAACATTTGATTGTTAATGCCTTTTCAAAATTCCCAAAGATTTTTTACATTTTTTAAGAAAAAAATTTTAAATGAACTTTTTTTTACCAACCCGGTGGGAAGTCGGCTAGCGAATAGCTAGCTATAATCGTTACGATAAAGACAGCGATTTGGCCACGAGGATCGCTAGCTTTTTTAAGTTAGCGAAAAGCTATCGATTTTTGTAAAGATAAAGACAGCGATTTAGCAACGAGGACAGCTAGCTTAACAAGCTGAAGATCCACTGGCTATTGTACCTAGCGTCATATTGTAATAAAACCGTTGTCTAAAAATTTTTGATATGTAGCTATCAACCAGGTATAGGTTTGTAGATATTTTGTAGCTAGCTACAAAGCTACGATATGTAGCTAGCGACACATTGCTACAAAATCGCAATGTTTAAAGTTCAATTATTTTCATAGTTATAATAGACTCAACACTAAAAATCGAATTTTTAAATATGTTAAAGACATTTGCAAAAAATAAAATAAGAAAAAAAAAAATCGCTAGAAAATCGCTATAGAGCTAGCTAGTCGCTAGCTAGTCGCTAGCTTATTAACCACAGGGAAGTTTAATTATTTTCAGCAGATAAGTTTAATTATTTTTAAAGTAGGAAAGACAAGTTATTATTAAAAAAAAATTATGAGCATGCAAAGATGTATATATAAGGTAATAGCATATACAAACTATGTTTAATAAAGAAGCAATATTTTCATTTAAATCTAAAACATTAAAAAAAGTAGTAATTCAAATTTGTTATCTGGTACTTTAATGGTTATTTACCATTAAAGTAAAAGATAACAAATTTAACTTAATTTAAATTAATTACTAAATTAAATTAAATCATTAAAAAATAAATCAAAGTAAAGAGAAATGTAAATTAAAAATATAATAATAATAATACATGTATAATATACCAAATTAGATATTTATGTTTACTTTTCAAAGAGTAAACAGATTCTATCAGTTGCACCACTTCTTTAGCTATTAGGCTGGTGTAGATGTATTTATAATACATTGTTTCCAGTTTAGGGTGTTGAATGCTGGATCTTCCTGACTCAAAGCATGGGTTGTGCTTGTGTCTCTGTTTTCATAACTAAGTAAATCATTCTATTATCTCCTAATGAGGGTCTCATTAGGAGATAATAGAATGATCTTAAATAATACGTCTCTAATACTCAGTTTTATGGTTGAAGCCAGCTGGTAATCAGGTTTCCGAACTCCGTGGTTGCTCTCATAGTCGTTGATTCCATCAACAGCTGTAAAATATCTGAGTACTAACAGTGCTATGTTGCACATGGATGGTGTCCCTGTTCGTAATTTTTATGTGCATTGTTGAAGACACATTTGGAGCCATTTGTTACAGCTTCTCTACTCGATTTATGTCTTATTTCTGATCCTAGTCAGTGCTGAGTTTCTACACATTTAGCCTTAGATGCTTTTGATCACAGTTTAATCTTTTTAAAACTATTATCTTGATCTTCTTCAACATTACCTATCATCATACCACTTACAACCACCTTAAAGCTGACTCTTGATTTTCTTCTTGATGGCCCTTGGGTAGAAACCTTTCATCTCACTGCTAGCAAACATGCTTCTTGTGTACATTCTTGGATTCAGGCTGGTATCAAATCTTTTTTTCCCTCTCGGCAATTCTAAGTCAAACCTCACTCTTCTCCATTGTTTTTTTCCCATTTTGCTGCTGCAATTTCCAATAGTGACCATTTCTTTATATCTTTAATACCATATTACCAAAACAATTCTCCAGAAAACAGACACGCATTTACTATTGCTAGAAACCATTATAAAAAGTCTAACGCCAAAGCTCTCTGTTCTCAGGTCACAAAATCTTGTATTTCATCTCAAAAATTAGGTTCCTTAGACTTCTGGAGAGTCATTAACAGTGTATATAATAAGGGCAAATCTGTTAATCCACCTATCTTTTATGGTTCATATTTTGTTACAACACCTTAAGACAAATTTCAATCATTTTCTACAAACTTTTTATTAATCTCATCTTTTGATTACTCCAATCACATTCTACCTGATATAGTTAAGAAACAGTTTTATCTATTGCATTGCATTCGTATCACTCCAGCTTCTGTATTTAAAGTGATTTTGATTCGATGTATCCAGAGTGCTTAGATTCTACAAATTGTGGTTTAGACTACATACCTGTTTTAGTATTGCAAAAGTTTTCTACTGAGCTGTCATCTATACTTTCAAAACTATTTAACAAGAGCTTATCAGAGTCTTGTTTTCCAGCCTGCTGGAAAGCAGTATCTGTTATTGCTATTTTCAAAAATTCTGGGAAGTGATCTGACTCATCTAATTACCAACCCATTAGTCTTTTTTTTATTATAAGTAAGATTTTTGAATTTTTAATTTACAAACAATTAATCTCATATCTTGAATCTAAAAACAACTTTCAAATCATCAATATGGATTTCGATCTTCTCTTTCTACTGCTGATTTACTAACGATATGACTAAGTTTTATCATGCATTAGATAGATGTTGAGAAATTAAGGCTATCCCTATCAACATTTCTAAAATCTTTGATAAAGTTTGACATGCTGGTTTTCTCCATAAGCTCTCTTCTTACAATGCCTCAGGTAACATCTTTAAGATTATTGAATTTTTCCTTAACAATTCTTATATAAAAGTTATCCTCGATGGACAGCACTCTTTTTCATTTTCTGTGACTTCAGAGATTCCTCAAAAACTATGCTTGGCCACATTTAAGGTGGCATTGTTTGCTGACAAAACTATCATTTATTTTTGCCAATTTTTTTTTTTTTTTTTTTTTTTTGTAATTCGCCTCCCCAAGGCCAAGAGGGTCACTACAGATGAGGAGGCTACTTGTGGTTATAACCCTCTCTCAACTCTATGACTCCGAAACACGAACCTTGACAAACAAGGCCGCTTAATCAACTTGGTCCCAATTGAGAATCAACTTGTTTTTTATTAACCCAATTGAGAATCAACTTGGTCCCAATTGAGAATCAATTGGGTCCCAATTGAGAATCAATTAACTTGGTCACTTGGTCCCAATTGAGAATCAATTAACCCAATTGAGAATCAACTTGGTCCCAATTGAGAATCAACTTGGTCCCAATTGAGAATCAACTTGGTCCCAATTGAGAATCAACTTGGTCCCAATAGAGAATCAACTTGTTTTTCCGCTGCGCGGAAAAACAAGTTGATTCTCAATTGATTGTCAACTCTCTCTGATTGGAGAGGATATTTGACCTTGAAAAGGATCTCACTTCTAATACTCAGATAAATTTTCTGATACTCAGATAACTTTAACTCAGGTAAAACTCTGAAATAAAATAAAAAATGTTTCAGCTAATTTTTATTCCAATAATCTAGATTTTCCTATACTTATGGTAATGTACTAGATGAGTCATATACCTGTTGTCTTCTAGGATTAACTCTTACTTCTAACTTTTCTAGGAAACTATAAATCAAATTTATCACAAAATTAGCATGTGCTAAGATTGCACCTAAAATCTCTTTATTGTGCTTACTACTTTCTTACTCTATTCCTTTCTGATTCCATTCTTTTCCTCTACAAATCTCTGATTCTTTCTTGTATTAAATACTGCTACCATATTTAAAGCAGATCTTGATGATGGTCTTTCTTATTTAGACAAGGTGCAAAAATGCATTGTAAACAAAGTTGGATCTGTTCTTGCAGTAAACTTTCAACCATTAGGCTGGGTGAATAAAAATGAGCAATTACTTCTACTCAGTAGTTAGTCAGCTATTTGTGAATAAAAAATTTAGGAGTTTAGCTCAAATTTTTATTTACGTAAGGTTAAACCATTTACTAAGTAGTTGTTCAGCTTTACGTAAATAAAAACTCAAGTAAAATTTCTAAAGTTTTTATTTACGTAAAGCTGACCAATTTCTGAGTAAAAGCAACTGTTCATTTTTATTCACACGGTCTATTGTCACATGGTTGTAATGCAAGCGTTCCCAGGAAAGATATGTGGTTTTTGTCTTGTATGACCACACGCGAGTATTTTATTTTAGACAACTTGGTCACGGCCGTTTTTAGTATAATCATTGCGGAAAAAGTTAAAAAAAACAAAACAACAACAAACAAAATAAAAAATTTAAAAAAATTAAAATAGAAAAAATAAAAAGAATTTAATAATTTAAATAAATTGTGTACTGCTTTTATTTTTGTTTCTTTAGACTGGTTATTACACTCATATTATATACTTGTAAAATTAAAATCATACAAATATATTTTACAAATAGATGACAAAACATATTTTGGCTTTCCTCTTAAAAAAAAAAATACAAATAAAATATAGAAAAGTCATCCTTTTTAATGTTTAAACTGTTTATTTTTTGCTTTGACAAACTAAATTTTGTTGCCGAAAATAATAACCACTATGAAGAAACAAAAATAAAAGCAGTTCACAAATTATTTAAACTATTATTATTTTCTATTTAAGGTTATTTTAGTTTCTTATTTTGTTATTTTGCTTTCTTTGTTTTTAAAAGTTTTTTCAGCATCGCATATAATAAAACTTGTAAACAGCTGTGACCAAGTTGTCTAAACTAAAATACTCATGCGTGGTCATACAAGACGAAAAACCACACGCCTTTCTTGGGAAGGCTTGTAATGTGACATCCTAATTCATCCTATTACTGTGACTGTTCCTAAGTGCTCAAAAAATTCATTTTCAACTAGTTTTTTTTTCTCGAGCATAAGTTCTTTTGAATTTACTCTTGTTTTTCTTAAGGTATTAAAAAAAAAAAATTCACACAATATTTCTAAATATTAAAATGGCTAATTCTTTTCTTAACAAAAATCATGACTAATGATGGTTTATTTTTTATTTATTATGATCTTAGGATATTAATTTATTCCATGCAAAAAGTTTTAATAACTTACTTGCAGTAAAAGGAACAAAAGCTAATATAACAATGTTAAAGCCACCTGCAACAGCTGAGACCATAGTTGTTCGTTTTTTACCAAATCTGTGTAAAAGTTTAACTAAGCTAATAATTTTTATAAATCAAAAACAAATACATTCTTAAAACTTTGTTTAATTAAACAAAAAGGTTAGAGAAATTATAAGAAAAATTAAAATCTTTTTTAACTCTGATACCATAACCAAACTTTATTTAAGAAACAGAAGCCATTTACCTATTACATAGCCAGATGGATATTAAATTTGAAGGAATATCAACAAGACTCACTATAGCAAAATCTCTATGAAGATTTCCACTTAGGTTTTCAGCAAAAAGAGATATGCCATAAAATGCAAGGCTAGCACTAAAACTAAACTCAAAATTTTAAACTTACATTACAATATTTATACTATTTAATTTGAGTATTTTAAAAACATATTTATAACTAAAATTTGAAATATTATTAACGGTAAGCATTTGGAAAATCTATATATAAAATGTTAATGAAAATTAAATTATAGGAATTTTTTATTAAAATAACTTAAAACATTTTTCAATGTACATTTCTACTGATAACATGTAATCTAACACAATTTGCCTCACATCCTGCTGCCTTGAAAATTTCACTTATCTGAGAAAAAAGCTAGAAAAAGTTAACTTTGATTTTAAATACTCTCTGCCTTAGGAAGTAAATGCTACAGATAGTGTAACAATAAATAAATGCTACAGATAGTGTCACAGATGTTAACTGCATCTTGTAGAAGTTACTTTCTTGTAGAAGGGTTTCTAGGCAAATACTTTAGCAGTAAGCAGAACATTTCTATTGGCCAGCATTGTACAATTTTTTTATCTAAAAGGCTGGCATAGATGTAAACCTGTGTTTTATTAATTTCTGCTTAGGTTAATGAATCCGGGATCTTCTTGACTTTATTTTTTTTTTACTAGTTCTTCTATGGTAGAGGCTATGCAACTGTTATCTTCTAACAAAAGTAAAACTTAGTTTAATGGTAAAACTTAGTTTAATGGTAAAAAGTTTCTGAAACTCTGTGGTAGATCTTATAATGGTTAAATCCATTAGAAGTGGCATAACAAAACAATGCCAGAGGCATGTTGTACAAGGAATGTATTCCAAATAGCGTTTTTGCTGTAAACCTTTGGAGCTAATAAAGAGCCTTTTGATAAATTTTAGGGTAAATAAGTGGGACTGAGACAACTGTACAGCTCAATAACTAAAGCACGTAAAATACTAATCATTACAAACATAACTAAAGTCCCTAAAAGTATTAAACATAAAAAAGCATCACCATGACCAAATTGTTTGAATCTATCCTTTACAAATATTTGTGGTCTTTGAAGTAACATTTTATCTCTTAAATTTTAACTCTTCTAAAATTGACCAACCTACTCGCTTTTTGTGAGACTAATTTAAATTGGGCTGTCTCATTTCTTAACCTCAGTGTTGATGGGTATTATCATTTGATTCTAACACTTCAATTGTCAAATACATGACTTGATGACATAGATACATGGTTTAATGAGATACATACATGACTTGATGACATAGATACATGGTTTCATGACGTTTATACAACGCTTGATGACATATATAAATTTATGATGCAAATCAGATTCAAAACTTATTTTATAAGCTCTCACTTTTTCACTCAATAACCTTACTATTGTTCTTTATTGTTTACTTTCTTCTCACCTAAATATATATATATATATATATATATATATATATATATATATATATATATATATATATATATATATATATATATATATATATATATGTATATATATATATATATATATATATATATATATATATATATTTATATATAATATATATATATATATATATATATATATATATATATATATATATATATATATATACATATATGTATATATATATATATATATATATATATACATATATATATATATATAAATATATATATATATATATATATATATATATGTAAATATATATATATATATATATATATATATATATATATATATATATATATATATATATATATATATATATATATATATATTATGTATGTATATATATATATATATATATATATATATATATATATATATATATATATATATATAATATATATATATATATATCTATATATATATATATATATATATATATATATATATATACATATATGTATATATATATATATATATATATATATATATATATATATATATATATATATATATACATATATATATATATATATATATGTATGTATATATATATATATATATATATATATATATATATATATATATATATATATATATATATATATATATATATATATATATATATATAATCAGAAAAAATTTAAACATACTAAATAGACATTTGAGAAAAGGTGATTAGAAACATTTTGAAAGGAAAAAACACATATTTAATAGATGTTTTGGTTAAGTCAACAGCACTCGAAATGTTGTTTGCATTACACAACTTCACCTTTGGAAACATTTTCTTGTTGCACTTTGCGATATTTCGAAGAACTTTTTCAGCCAAATCTCTTTTATTGTTTGCATGAAGCCAACGTACAGATTCAGGAACAAATCTAGAGAAAAATATTTAATTTAATTTTAATTTTTTTTTACCAAGCTTACCCATTTACTGATTTCTTAATTACTAAAACCAATTATTATGTTACTAAATATGCAAAGGCTAGGAGAAATAAACTCCGGCTAAAAATTCCCCTGCCTTGGGGCTCTTGGTTGAGTAAAGGCTAGAGATGGTGTCTCGATAAAAATACTCATCTTGGGCAGATGTTAACTGCATCCTGCTACTGTCTTGTAGAAGGCCTCCTAGGCAAAGACTTTAGGGGTAAGCAGAAAAATTCTGCTAACCAGCCTCGAACCCCTTCTTCATCTATTAGGCTAGCGTAGATGTAACCTGTGTTACATTGTTTCCTGCCTAGGATGATGAATGCTGGATCTCCTTGACTCTACTCATAGAATTTTGCTTATGCCTCTATGATAATGGCTATGCAACTCTTCCTGTTATCTCCATATGAGGGTACAGCTCTAAAACTCAGTTTAATGGTTCTGAGGCCGGCTGGTAGTAAGGTTTCCCGAACTCTGTGGTAGCTCTCAGAGAGGCTGATTTCATCAACAGCTGCAAAATATCAGAGTATTAACAGTGCCATGTTGCGCATGGATGGTGTCCCTGTTAATGCTTTTGGTGTGCATTGTCAAGGCCACATAAGGAGCCCTATGTCACGGCTTAGGGTTAATTAACAGGACTGAGACAACTGCATAGCTCATTGATTAGGAGGCTGTGCTCTATCTATGAATGAGTCAAGTTCTCATTAAACCCAAATCATGACCAAAGTAACCAAAAATTTAAAACCTAAAAAACCATCCCCACCACCTAAATATTTTAATATATCTTTTACAAATATTCGCGGTCTACGAAGCAACTTTCCATCAGTTGAGTCTTACCTCCTGCAAAATTCACCAGACTTGCTTGCACTCAGTGAAACAAATTTAAATTCTGCAATTCCTTCTTCAGATGTCAGTGTTGATGGGTACTATCCTTTGATTCGTAAAGACTCCAATAGTCACATGCTAGGTTTAGGGGTATACATACGCATTAATTCCCCTATTTGTCGTGAAATCAGATTCGAATCCTTTGACCATTCTTTTATGTGCTTTCGCCTAGCACCTCTTCACTCTATCACCTTTCTCTTTGTTCTTTATCGTTCTCCTTCTTCCCATGATTGCACTCTTTTAGATGTTATCTCTGATCAAATTGACCATGCCCTCTCTCTTTACCCCTCTGCCAATATTGTTGTTATTGGTGATTTTAATGCCCATCACACTGAATGGCTTGGCTCTAACACCACTGATCCTGCTGGCACTAAAGCCTTTAACTTCTGCGTTTCTCAATCTCTTACTCAGATATTTAACTTTGTGACTCGTTTTCCTGACAACCTTAATCATTTACCTTCACTCCTTGACTTATGTCTTGTCTCTGACCCTAGCTTATGTTCAGTTTCTCCCTTTTCTCCCTTAGGTGGTTCTGACCATGCAATGATCTCTATAAATCTTTGTTCTCGTACTTCTTTTTTGGGCTCACCTTATCATCGCACCACCTACTACTACCCTAAAGCTGACTGGGATTCCTTTCGTGATTTTCTTCGTGATGGTCCTTGGGCTGATGTTTTTTTTCTCTAAAGACTTTTGGAAAATCTTCAACAGCAATTTTAACAAGGGTAGATCTAACATTCCATCTCTCATTCATGGGACTGATCTTGTTACCTCTCCCAGGGATAAGGCAGAACTGTTTGCAAAGAACTTTTCTTCTAATTCCACTCTTGAATCTTATGGACATTCTCTTCCTTCCATTCCAGTCAAACAGGTTGACCCATTGTTAGACATTCAAATCACTCCGGCTTCTGTTGCTAAAGTCATATCTCAATTAAACTCGTCTACAGCTTGTGGTCCAGACAACATTCCTGTCACAGTCTTGCAGAATTGTTCTCCAGAACTTTCTTCAATTCTCTCTAAACTATTTAACAAGTGTTTGACTGAGTCTTGTTTTCCTGCTTGTTGGAAAATGGCATCTGTGGTTCCAATATTCAAAAACTCTGGAGAAAATTCTGACCCCTTCAATTATCGTCCGATCAGTCTTCTTTCTGTTATTAGCAAGGTCTTTGAGTCTTTAATCAACAAATTCCTCACATCTCATCTTGAGTCAAATAAACTGCTGTCAGACAATCAATACGGTTTTCGATCCTCTCGCTCTACGGCCGACTTGCTAACTGCTGTAACTGAAAGATTTTATCGTGCATTAGATGGAGGCGGTGAGGCTAGGGCTATTGCTCTCGACATATCTAAAGCTTTCGACAAGGTTTGGCATGCTGGTCTTCTCCATAAGCTTGCTTCATATGGTATTTCTGGGAAAGTTTTTGAGATTATCAAATCATTTCTTTCTGACCGGTTTATTAAAGTCATCCTTGAAGGCCAACACTCTTCTTTATTTCCAGTAACTTCTGGGGTTCCCCAAGGTTCCATCCTGGGCCCTGTTTTGTTTCTTATCTACATAAACGATCTTCCTGACAACCTTTCATCTAAAGTAGCTCTTTTTGCTGATGACTCAACTTTATACTCCTGTCTTGACAAAAAGTCTTCTTTTTTCGATCGCCTAGAACAAGCAGCTGATCTTGAATCTGATCTCACTTCAGTAATAGATTGGGGTTCACAGTGGCTTGTGAATTTCAACTCTAAAAAAACCCAATTGCTTACTGCAAACAACTACCGTAATATGGTCAACATTCCTATATTAATGAATGGCAATCCTCTTACTGAGTCGTCCTCTTTACGTCTTCTTGGATTATCGCTTACTACTGACCTTTCATGGAAACCATATATACAATCGATTGCTAAATTAGCTTCTGCTAAGGTTGCTTCTCTTTATCGTGCTCGCCATTTCCTTACTTCTGATTCCATTCTCTACCTCTACAAATCTCTTATTTGTCCTTGTATGGAATACTGTTGTCATATTTGGGCTGGTTCTTCTAACGATTCACTCTCTCTTCTTGACAAGGTCCAAAAACGCATTGTAAATGTTGTTGGACCTGGACTATCTGCTAAGCTTGAACCTCTTTCCCATCGTCGTAAAGTTGCATCTCTTTCTCTTTTCTACAGATACTATCATGGTCACTGCTCAAAGGAGTTATCATCTCTAGTTCCATCAACTAAAATTCATTCTCGTTTTACTCGTCATTCAGCTAAGTCTCATTCGTTTTCTGTATCTGTCCCTGCAAGCTCTAAAAACTTTTATTCATCTAGTTTTTTTCCCGGCACTTCAATTCTTTGGAACTCTCTCCCATCTTCATGTTTTCCTGACTCATACAACCTTCAACTTTTTAAGTCTTCTGTCAACCGTTTCCTTGCTCTATAACTCTGTTCTTTTTTTTTCCTAGTAACTCCCAACTTAATAGTGGTTGCTTGCAGCCTTGTTGGGAGTAAATGCAAATAAAAAAAAAAAAAAAAAAAAATATTCAAAAAACGGTTTTACTTTTCAATTAATTTTAAAATATTCTGGTGATTATTTATATTAGAATTTTAGATTAATTTAAATAATTAGGCTCAATTATTTATGACACATTCATATATACATGAGACATGTGTAACATGTGTCTATGCATTTACACGTAATTTACAAGATCTTATGTTACATATTGTAGCAATATGATTATACAACTTTATTTAGCATTGTAAAAGTCAAATTTAAACTTGTAAACAATCATTGATTATTTAAATAACAAATTGTAATTGAAAAGTTGATTTTATAACGCGATTATTTTTAAGAAAAAACTAAAAGTACTAAAAATTTAAAAGAAAGATATTATGACTGCTTATTAACATCAAATATCATATTTTTTGTGAAAAATGTTATTTAAGTTGATAATTTTTAAAATATTTTTTCATAATTTTTTTAGATATTTCTTTTGTTGTAACACTCTAAAGGGGTTTTCATTTTTTCAAGATATAGTATCACTTCATTCAAGATATAGCATCTCTAATAATCACATCTGTATAGGTAAAAAAAAGTTTCACTGTCAGCTGTTCCAAACCAGTTTGAAATACAGTGATTTCTCTTTGTAAATCAATTTTGCAGAGTACATAAAAAAATAGCTTATAATAGCTCACACTTAACTTCTTTTTCACATTAAAACCGTCATATATACATTTCATGATTTATGCATCAAAGGAAAATAATCATATAAAATTGTTCCTTACTTGTATGTAACCAGCAATATCAAATAAGGTGTCGTCATTGTCAATTCAAAAGCTCTCCATTTTGGTATTAACCATGATTGAAGTGACATAAAACTTAAAGCAAAAGAATAAACACACCAAAGAATGTTCAAGTAACTTCTACTGTTTGGTCCTAACATCTCTGACATTAAAACCCATTGGACATTAAAGGATCCTCCATGAAGTATACCAACTAGGAATTGTAAATGAAGAAAAACCCAAAAATTATGAACCAATGATGAAATGGTAGCAATAACTATGAATCCAAACCATGACACATAGAGTACTTTTTTTCTACCATACCTAAACGAGAAGTTTTATAGTACTTAATATATACATAATATATATATAAATATATATATATATATATATATATATATATATATATATATATATATATATATAATATATATATATATATATATATATATATATATATATATAATATATATATATATATATATATATATATATATATATATATATATATATATATAATTTTTTTGTTATAGACAACTTCAAATCAATATAAATTGTAATTTTAATTTTGAACTAGCTTTTTTTTTTAAATGAAAGGTAAAACCAATTAAGTTTATTATAATGTCAAATATTTGTCAACCGACTTTTTTTTTTATAAGTTAAGTCTGAAATAAAGCGTGCTAAAGTATTGACGCACTCATTTAAATGTATTAGCATTATGTTTAATTCCTTTGAGAAAAACATTTTTGGATAATTTTTGTTAATTACTCTCTGGTGATTAATAATAGTCAATAAAAAATCTAAGAACCATAAATTGAAGTGTCGGAAATATCATTTGAAATACAGTTACTTAAAACTTTAAAATTGCACTAACAAAATATAGGTTTAAAGAGCATATCAATTGAAACAAAATGGCAAATTGTTGCCTGCATAAAAGTGGTCTCAGCAATCGAGAAATCGGACATCAACTTGAAATCAGTGAATGCAGCATTAGATCAATGCTCAAAAACTATAATGAGTTTGGAACAGTTGAAGACAAGTCGCTCTGGTTTTCCAAAAAAAATGCCAAAAGGGACGGCAATAAAGCAAATATGCTGGCTAGACGCAACCTGAACATGAACATAGCCGAAACCGCCTCAGACTCAAATACAGCGTTGGGTACACATCAAGTTAGCAGATCAACAATTAGCAAGGTGATAAAGAAAAAACATCTTAATTTATACCTTGCAACAAAAAAGCCACTTCTAAGTATCAAAACCACCTCAAGCGAAGAAAATGGTGCAAAAAGAGAGCTGCATGTACTGTAGAGCAATGGAGAAAAGCAATTTTATCGGACGAGCAAAATTTTGAGCTTATTAATCGCAAAAAAGAGTTATTGTGAGGAGATACAAAAACGAAAAATGTAATCCTCGTTTTATCATGTCAACAGTTTAAGGAGGAGGAGGCTCAATTTGCATTTGGGGCTGCATTGCTGGATCGAGCAATGGCCTAACGCATATTTACTCTGATCGCCTTAATCAACATCAATATAAAGAGATATTAGAAGGTTATTTAAAGCCATCAATGGACGTTTTTAAGACTGACTCCTCCTGGCAATTTTAACAACATAACGCTTCTTGCCACACAGCACGCTCAATTAAGCAATATATGAAAGAAAAATGGTTGAATCTAATGCCTTGGCTTGCTCGCTCGCCTGATTTAAACCCTATTGAGAATCTTTGGAGTTGGATGGCCTGTAAATTACAAAAAAGCAAATCCACTAACTTGGTGCCGCAAGTCCACTAACTTGGTGCAGCAAGTCCACTAACTTGGTGCAGCTAAAAACGCAAATGCGAGAGTTGTGAAATACCGTGCCACAAGAATTAATCAAAAAAATTATTGATTCTATGCCGCATAGAGTTTTGGCATGCCTTAAAAACAAAGAGGGTCACATAAAATATTAAACTTTCTTAGAACCTTTAAAAAACTGTAAGCGCGCTAATACTTTTGCACACTTTTTTATTACTGTTTTTATCACTCTTATTGTATTCTAATGAAATTCAAGATAATATTACAGAAATACTTTTTATATATTTAAAAATTTGCCTGATTTTATAAATAAGTTTAAAAAAAAAACTATCGATCAGCCTTTTATTGTTTTTGAACTACACTCGTTTGAAATTCTCGTTTGAAGGTAAAAAAAATGTGAGTGCGCTTATACTTTCTGGAACCACACACACATGTATATATATTTATAAATATATATATATATATATATATATATATATATATATATATATATATATATATATATATATATATATATATATATATATATATATATATATATGTATATATATGTATATATATATATATATATATATATATGTATATATATATATATATATATATATATATATAATATATATATATATATATATATATATATATATATATATATATATATATATATATATATATATATATATATATATATATATATATATATATATATATATATATATATATATATATATATATATATATATATATATATATATATATATATTATATATATATATATATATATATATATATATATATATATATATATATATATATATGTAAGTGCTAGACTTGAAAAATGTGCTAAAGTGTGTCAAGAATTAACTTTATAAATAAACATTCTTTCCATAATTATAAGTAACACAGACAAACTCTGCAATTTTCTAATAATTGTGCAGCTTATTAAATTACTTCTAAACTTAATAAATTAAAATTTATAAATGGCATATAATTATCACATAAGTCACATAATAATATATTTTCAAAAAAAAATTCAACTTGAAAATAAGTAATTTAAAATATAATAGAATAAGTCATTTAGATAACATTAATTAAAATTGTATATTTTATTTGGAAATTTTTTTTCCACAATGATGGAAAACTGTGTTTTTGCTCATTTTCATCAACATTTGCTTAGACAATAATTTCTTATTTTTTGATTGTATTTTACCTAGATTGTAGTTTTTATTATTTTTTTCTTATATTGAGGAGTATTTGCTCTATTATTATAGTTTTATATAAGGAGAATTAAGGAGTATTATATTAAGGAATATTTATAAAATATTTGTTTTGCATAAATTTATCACAATTTATGCAAAAAGATATATATTTTCAAATAAAACAAAAACATCACAATTTTACTTAATTTAATAACTAAAGTTTTAAACTAAAACATTTATAAAAAATAGTTACCTTTTTTACAATACATCTTTAAAACAAAATAATATAAATGAAAAATTATTAAAGTTATTTTCATTTTCGAATGGTAAGTTAAAACTGCTTTTTATTTTGTTAGAAATTTTTAAAATATTTTTTAAAAAGTTCTTATTTAATATAAATAAAAAAAATTATATGCAACTTTCATAAATAGTCATTTAAAAAAAAATTACCATTAATTTGTTACATTATTAAAATGTGTTTGGGTAAGGGTTGTCCTTTAATTATGTCAACTATTTGCTGGAATTTTTACCTGCCCCTCCCCTTTGTCAAAAACTTGTCAAACTTCCAAAGACCGTCCCACCCACCCACCCCCAAAAAAAAAATTTTAATGGAAAAAAAACAACAATACTTCTTATTAGCTAATTTACAACTAAAACAAAAAAGAGTAAAAGTAAACTATTAAGGGAACTAAAAGGTGAATAAAAATAAAAGGCAGAGTTTAGTCCTTGCCTTAAGGCCAATAATTATTTCCTTGGCCATGGTCTTGAAACTGTTGGCCTTTAATTCTTGAATTATACAAATAATTTAAATTTTCCATTCTTTTTTTTTTAATGTATTTTCTGGTCTATTTTTACTTGTGGTTTTATTGTCACAGCAATTGTTACCTACAGTTTTGTTAATAATCGGCCTTAATGTACGTCAAAAAATTAAGTATTTGGTTTTGAAAATGTTTGCGTAGACCTTGGTCTTGAAACTCTTACTCTTGGCCTTGACCATCAAACTCTTGGCCATGGCCTTGTAACTTTTTACCTTGGTCTTGGTCTTGCTACTTTTGGCCTTGTTAACAACTCTAAAAGGTATAGAAAAAGCTTTTAATTTAAGATCATAGTTTATATCAAAAAAAAAAAGATAGAAGGGTTCACAAAAATGTATACACCTAACACATTTAAATTATGAACACATTTTAAATTAATGCAACACTTCAATGGTCAAACCTCCTCACTTTAACTTTAGGCCTAATTTAGATTCACAGTAAAAGTCAATTATTTCTAATAGAATTTAGCATAATGAAAAATTTAAAAATTGTATAAACCAGAGGTCAGCAACCTATTGAAACTGAAGAGTCAAAAGTTGCAATTTATGTATTTTTAAAATATTTCAACAAAAAATATATAATAATAAAGACCCACAAGCAAAAAATGTATATCTTTTAGTGATACTTTTATAGTCAATTTTTTAAAAAAGCAATAAAACGCTTAAGTTGTTATATGTTACTTTTACTTCCATTACTTTTGTGAAACGCAAAGAAATGTAAATATTTAACCAGCGGTAGTGGTATAGTGATAGAGCGCTCGCCTCATAAGCGAGAAGTTTCGAGTTCGACCCCCACCACGTCCCTGGTAGTATCGCGCTAAGCTTGTTTGTCCGCGCAGCAGCCTTGTTCGCCGAGGTTCGTGTTTCTGAATTATAGAGTTGAGAGAGGGTTGTTACCTCAAAAGTAGCCTCCTCTCCTGTAGTGGCCTTGGGGAGGTGAGTAACTAGAAAAAAAAGAAAAAATCTTTTTATATATAGTTTCACAGGTTTCAATAACTTGTACGGAAATTTAATAGATATTGAAAAATGCCTCATCTCTTTTAGAGAAGGGGGGGGAGCAAATTATGTTAAGCCTTAAACAAAGCATGCTACGGCAATAAAGATCAATATGCTTAGCAAGTAACAGGATAAAACAGTTTTAGAAAATTCTGGAAACAAACTATTAAAGTTGCTACTTAAAATTATAATTAAAAAAAGAAACAAAATACTAAGAAAATTGTTTTACAAAGGATCCTTTCTAAAATTTTTATGATCTACTTCACAATATTTTACCATAAAATTCTCCATATCAACTGCCTAAATAAGAGATAAAATTTTACTCAATAATTATAAAATAACTATTTAAAATAATTTTCCACTTGGGAAAACTTCCGGAAAACTTTCAACTCTAACAAACATCTTCTATATAATAATGCCAAACTTAATAGTTTTAATAGTATTGTCCCCTGGAGAGTATTTGACACGAAACCCTTCGCAACCATTGCAACCGAGAAATTGGCAAGAAAGAGTCGCAGCACTATATGAAA